ACCAGCTGCTCCGTGGGAGAAAGATGAGGCTTTCTACTCTCATAAAGATTTACAGCCTCGGAAACCCTGTTCAGGGTCGCTATGGGTCGGAACCGACTCTATGGCACTTAACAACAACAACAACAGGAGAAGATGGTAAGTTCAAACTGCTGACCTTGTGGTTCAAACCAACCTTGTGGTCCAGTGCGTATCCTACAGTGCCACACCAGGAGTCATTGAATTTTTTGAGTCATTCTAGAGAATTAAGGAGCTCCACTGTTCAGGGTCGCTATGGGTCAGAACCGACTCAACAGCACTTAACAACAACAACAACTGTGAGAATCAACAGGGGTTGGCATTTGTCTACTTGGCAGTTGATCTGAAGGACAGAATCCTTCTATAATCCATGGACCTAGCCCCAGGGAGCTAAAAAAAAAAGGGAAAAGTGGGAGGGGAGGGGAACAAACTGGTCTGAAGTGCAGGGAGTTGTGCAGATTCCTGAGCCAAGGTTGGTACCCAATACCTGGCCCCAGGTGTTCAGGGATGTTTGACCTGGCTCAGGGCTGCTGGGGAGAAAGTCTGACCTAACTCTGGGTGGTGAGAGTCAGGAAGTGCCATGAAGTGGCTTGTGACAAGAATCATAAAGATATGCAACGGTTAAGCCTGGATCTGTTTTACCAGGAAGGAGGGAGGCATGGAAGAGAGTTAGGGTATAAGGAACAAGGGGTGACACATAGAAGGAAAGCACCTCTCCTTTCTTACCTTGAAGTAGATTTGTGAGCAGAAAGGGACCAACATAGTTGGTGGCAAAGGTGACATCTAGGCCTTCTGGAGTAAGTGTCTTCTGGGGGATTCCTGGGGGAAGATGAGAATATAAGTGGCTGATGTCAGGACAATGTCTGGGATGCATACACTGGAATTCAGTAGAAATGCCTTTAAAAGCATAGCCATGTAATGATGGGACAGTCACATTATAGGCTATAACCTCAAGGAGGCTATTTAGGGGAGTGTATGATTTAGAACATTTCAGTCGGGTGCACATGAGGACACCTGGTTTGAGTTCCCTGAGAGAAAACGGAGGCTTCTGAACTATATTTGGGGAAGTAAGCCAAGGCACATACCACAGATTCCAGCATTGTTGACCAGCAGGTGTATCTCAGGTACTTCCTGAAGAAGCCACTGGGCAAAGCTCCTGATGGAAGCCAGAGAACTGAGGTCCACCTCGCCAAGCAGTAGGTGATTGTTGTTTGAGGCTGCCTGGATCTCAGCTAGGGCTTGCTGTCCATGCTCTTGGTTCCGGCAGGCAAGGATCACTCGGGCCCCACGGCAGGCCAGCTCCTGGGATACAACTTTCCCAATACCTGTATATGGTACAGTGAATTACTTCATATGTCCCTTTGAACCAGTCTTTGTAACTCCAACTAAACAACTGGGTTGTTATTGTAAAGTTTCATCAAGTTAATTCCAACTCACAGTGACTCTATGTAGGATTTCTGAGGAGTACTTAGTAGGTTTGAACCACTATTAGGTTGTTGTGGTTGTTAAGTGCCATCGAGTCAGTTCTGACTCATAATGACCCTGCATAGGGTTTCTGAGAAGCTGATGATGAGCTTGAACCGCTGACCTTGTGGTTCAAACAGACCTTGCAGTACAGCACATTAACCTGTAGCACCACACCAGTAACTGGGTGTTGTTGTGAAGCACTGTCAAGTCAGTTCCAACTCACAGCAGCCCTGTATAGGGTTTCCTAGGAGCAGCTGGTGAGCTTGAACCACGAACCTTGCAGTTCAAACAGCTTTGCAGTCTGACACATTAACCCACTGCCACACCAGGACTCCAGCAACTGGATAGGACTATGCAAATGTGACACATTAAGGGGACTGGATAGCTTGCTAGTAAAATAAATAAGGTACCTGGCACCCTTTTGGGGATGGTGGGGATGGCGGTTGTGTGCTATCAAGTCAGAACCGACTCAGAGCGACTCTATATAGGGTTGCCACAGCTGTAAATTGGACCAGGCAAATAAAGTATATTGAACTCTAACATGGGGATTGGTCAGTTTTGCAGTCAGACTAGGTTTCAAATGAACCATCCCAAAGGTTGAAAAGACACTAGGAAAGAAGAGCCAGGAGTGAAGCACTTCATTTGGAGCCCAGATCCATCCAGGGACCTCCTGGACCCAGGAGACAGAACTGTAACACTGCAGAGACAATGAGAAGTGGCAGTAAACAAGTGGCTGAAGTAGAGGCAGCAGAATCAACAGATCGGCAGGAGACGGAACAAGTGGGTTTCCAGACCCACAGAGTGAGAAATTTGAGGGCCTTCAGGCAGGAGACTTACTGGAAAAGTGGCATGAGTCTGGGTACTTACTGGCAAAACTAAAGGAGATACGTGGAGTCCTGGTGTGTAACTTTGGGATAAACATTCAACTGCTAACCTCAAGGTCAGCAGTTTAAACCCACGAACCACTCCTAGGAAACCCTCTACAGAGTCGCTATGAGTCAGAACCAGTTTAAAGACACTTACCAACAACAAAAAGAGGCCAAGGATCAGTCAGAGAGGGTTGTGCCTATGGCACTGCTGAGAAGAGACTGTCCTCATCCAGGAACTGTATCTGTTACTTCTCTAATAAACCTCATTATTGTATTGTCTGTGAGTTCTGTGTTGCCATTGCAATGAATAATTGAACCCAACAGAGAAGTAGAGACAACGGGAGAGACAGCCGGCATCCAAATTGGTAAAAAGGTTGGAGGGTAGAGGCATATCTAACCTCCACCTTGTAGGAATCAGCCTTGATCCTCCTCCCAGTTACCCTCATGCAATTTGTCCACTGTTGAGAGGGCAATGAAATAAAGCAATAGAAGGGACAGGGCTCCCTGACCCAGGGTGCTGGTCCCTGTCTCTACCCTACTAGAGCTGTTGGAGGTTGTAGCCCCTGATGAAATAACAGAGTGTTCAAGAAGCACTCACCACTGTTGGCCCCAGTTACCACTGCCGTCTTCCCAGTCAGGTCGGTGGGACATTTCTGGAGGTTCCAGGGACAAGACCTCTGCCATATCCTCACATACAGTCCAAGCAGGAGAATCAAAATGAGGAAGACAAAGCTAGGGCTCCAGGCCAGGGTGCTGAGTGGAGGCCACAGCAACATAGTAGAGACTATTAGCATGCCAATACTGTGCTGAACTCTTAATTTAAAAAATAGAAGGGGCAGGAGGAGGGAAGGTAGTCAAAGCTGATCAGAACTATCCAGTTAGGCAAGTGAGGCAAAGAAAAAAATTTAAAGAGGCACACACACTCGTTTGTTCAAATATACTTCCCAAACCTGAGTGCGAGTGTCCCTTTAAATTTTGTTATTGCCTCACCCTAGTCACATCTCCAAGTCAAAGTTCCCATTTAAAAAAAAAAATCAAAGTTGCCACATACCCTATTATTGTTGTATTAGTTGCCTTCCTGTGAATTCTGACTAAGGGGGTCATGGTGTGTTACAGAATAAAACTGCTTCATAAGGGTTTCCTGACTGTTCGCTTAATAAATGCAGGTTGCCAGGCACTTTCTTCCCAGGTACTGCTGAGCATGTTCAAATCTGTCAAATGTCAAGTGTTTGTGCCACCTGGGAACTCTACATAAGTCCAAATCTGTCTCCAAAGGTACAACTCGAAGTTGTACTCCAAGGTGAATTAACAGAATTCTCAAGGACATCCTAACTTTGGATTCTAGAGAAGAAATCATGTTCCTTATTTCTTGATAATCATTCTGTGTGCAAGCAGGTCTACCTCCTCCCTCTTACTAAAAGGAAATTCTAACAGTTTTCCCAATCCCATTTCTTACTTTGGATCCCAGATCCCCACTTGCAGCCTTTGAGAGAAAAGGTGGATTCTCTGGAATGCCTCCACTGCGGAACACACTTGGTCCTAAACCAAGGCCTCCTAGAGGTGATTACAGAACAACTGACCTCTTGGGTTCAGGGAGACATTGAACACTCTTGGAAGAAACTGACAGACCTCAGGCTAATTCCTAAGATATCCCAGGTGTTTATTTCTGGCAGGCTGACAGAGTGATGGCTCAGGGCCCAGAATGGGGCAGATGGTTGGAAGGTAATGTCCACACTTTAGGGGTTGAGTTCTTTACTAGCTGTTCCACCGTCACCTCAGGCTTTGGAGCACTTGTCTTGATGGGGTGCTGCTGTGTGGGACAAAGGATGTAGTCTTCCTTGTATTGGCGAGGGCCCCCAGAACTGATCAGTGTCTGAGTTACAGGGTCCCACAGGCTCACACCAGGAGACAATTTCAGGGCATCTGGCACCAGCAAGGGTTTCCACATCATCTGGGAGGTGGCCTCAAGCATCCGAGGTGCAGACTGAGGCCACCTTTGAGAAACTGGGCCCTCTCGGTCAAAGGGGTTCAAGCCCTGTGGAGGCACACGGGTGCGGCCAGCCCACAGCTCACCCAGCAGCTCTGCCTCCCCCTCGCAGCCACAGGGCCAGCTGGCACTGGGCCATAGCTTGGGGCTGGGGCTTCGGGCTACCTTGGAGAGCACTGCGTGGGGGGCAAGGAAGCGCAGTCCAGGGCTGGGGAAGGACAGCTTTGACCCGAAGGCTGGCAATGACGTATCTAAAGTGGGGTAATGGAGGTCGAGGCCAGGGCTCAAGGCATGGAAAGAATCATCAGGCTGGAGAGGGGAAAAACCTGCCGAGCAGACTCGGTAGCTGCGGCACCGGGTTTGGGGTGCCATACGGGCTACAGCCTTCTTGTTCCGTCGGTACCTACAGTAAGCTTCCATGGGGTGTGCCTCGGTGTCTGGGACCAAGACCTCTGCCAGAGGGCGCACCCAGTGGCGTGGCAGCCGTGCCGGGTCCAGGGGCACCATCCCCCTATAGCTAGGCGCTTTCAACTGCGCTTCAGTGCACCAAGGCTGCAGCAGCCTGAGTGACACTGAGGAGCTGAGCCCAGTGGGAGTATCCTGAGAGGCCCAGGACACTGACGCATCTGAGGTGTCCGAGGGGATGAGGGAACTCTCCTCCTTTTGGAGTGTGGCCCAGTCCTCTGTGCTGTTGGGCTGAGAGGTGCAATAATAAAGGTCCTCCAGCAAGAACTGGGAGTCGAGGGGCTGCCCTAACTCCTCAGAGATCTGGGGGCTGGTTTCCAGGAACTGCTCTTGAGGAGACTGTGGACTGTCAATGGGCATTTCCACTGAAGGTTGGAAGCTCCCGTTGAAGGAGCTGACTGAGCAGAGGCGGTCACTCTCCTGGTCATCCTGCTCCTCTAAAGGTGCCCTGGGCTCTGCCTCCTGAAACAGCTCCAGGTTGGTCAGTGGCCTTGGGCTTACTCCCAGCTCTGGGGACCACTCCCCAGATTCCATCTGCTCCTGGGAGCCTCTACTTATCCAAGATCTTACAGAGCTGTGGTCCACACTCCCTTGTTCCTGTAGAAACACATGGGGTGGGGCCCGTGAAATGTTGGAAAAAAGAAAGAGGAAGCAAAGGTCCTGAGAGGCTCCTGAGGAGGCCAAAAGAGAAGGCATGGGGGCAGGGGCTGGACTTACTTCACCTTGGAAGATCTCCTCTGGCCCCACAGAGTTGGGTGTGTGCAGTACAGGCACTGAGCCCTGAGCCCAGGCATCTGTAGTGCATGCCAAGGGCTCCTCATCTTCACCCCACGTGGGGTCTGCAGCCACCTCAGACTCTCCCTCGTCCCGGGCCAGGAAGCGCCACTCTGTGATCTGCAGCATGGCTTCTCGGGCCTGACTGATGGTGAATGGGATACACTGCAGAAGATTGAAAGGATCTCAGCCCACCAGAGAGAAGTAGAGGGTTGGGGGAGATAGGTGGGAGCGGGGACCCTGTTCCAGGCACACCTGCTGGGACAGGTAGACTTTGAAGGCAGAGTCCATGACTCGGGCCAGCAGGTCGGCCAAGATGTCTCCCACCACGTCCTCGCCTTCCTCAATAGTGGCCAGGGCCATCCACTCAGTCTCGTTGAGCCGCCCAGGCACAATCTCCACCTGTGGCATGAGTACTGTGGGTGGTCGAGCCTTTTCAGCTTTGGATCTGGTCACCCCACGGTCTCGGGTCTGCCTCTCCTGCCTCTGTGGGAACCAAGCAAAGCAGTCAGGAAGGAACAACTATAGGCTGGGACGAAGCTTTTGGAAGATGTCTAGTAGAAAGGAAAAGAGGGACAACAACTTACTGTTGACCTGTTTATTATGTGACATACCATTTAGATGTTTGACATAGCTAATTTAACTTTCTTAATAGCCCACTAGGAGCTCTGGGAGTGTAGTGGTTACGAATCGGGCTGCAAACCTTAAGGCCAGCAGTTCGAAATTATCAGCCGCTCCATGGGAGAAAGATGAGGCATTCTGCTCCCGTAAAGATGTACAGCCTCGGAAACCCTGTACAGGGTTGCTATGGGTTGGAACCAACTTGACGGCACATAACAACAACAACAATAGCCCACTAAGCCCATTTTACAAAGAAACTGAAACCTAACAGAGATTAACCATCACTTGCTCTGGATCATACAATTAGTAAACCCAAGCTATATGTAAGCTCAGGAGTCCTGGTGTGGCACTGTAAGATAAGCACTGGATTACCAACCAAAAGGTTGGCAGCTAAAACCCACCAACTGCTCCTTGGAAACCTTATACAGTGTCACTGTGAGTCAGTAATACTGATGGCACTTAATAACAACATGTAGCTCTAACTCCTTATTGTTATTGTTGCTGTTAGTTGCACTCAGTGAACATCTTTATGTAAATCAGAGCAAAATGCTAGCCTACCCTAAGCCAATTTCATGGTCATTTATTTGTATGTTTGCATCTTCTAGCAGGACATCAAACACTGGTTTGTTGTGATGTATAAAGTTTTCATTGACTGGTTTGCAGCAGTAGATCACCATGTCTTTCTTCCTAGTCTGTTTTAGATTTGAAATTCTGCAGAAACCTCTACACCATGGGTGACCCTACAGTATTTGAAATACCACTAGCATAGCTTCCACCATATCATGTTGTTGTTGTTACGTGCCATCGAGTCGGTTCCAACTCATAGTGATCCTATACAGGGTTTCCCAGGAGCAGCTGGTGAGTTCAAACCCCCCTTGAGGTTGAGTGTTTACCATACGGCGCCACACCCTACAGGGTTTGAAATATTAGTGGCATAGCTCCCGCCATCATAGTAACACACAATCCACTGAGGTATAATAAACTGGCAGACAGATGTAGTCTAACTCCAGAAAGCATCACTGCCATTTCAAGTTAATTCCTACTCATATCTCTCCTATGAGACAGAGTAGAACTGCCCCTAGAAGGTTTCCAAGGCCATAAATCTCTACAGAAACAGACTGCTACATCTTTCTCCTACAGAGCAGCTGCGAGGTTCAAACTGTTAACTCTTTGGTTTGCACCTGAACCACTTTGTCACCAAGGTTCCTTCTAACTCCACAGCCTTTGCTATTTGCACTGGACCCAGTAGAATCCCTAGAGCTCCTTGTAAGTGGCAAGTCAACAAATGGTGCTGGAATTATTGGTAGCTGTTTAGCATCTTTCCTCTTCCCTCAAATCACCTTAGGTCTTCATTTCACAATGTCCATCTCAATCAATTCCAGATGAATTATGGGAAAAAACATAGCAAAAAATACAAACCATAAAAAGGAGGAAATTAGGTTAAATTGTTATATAATCTTTCACAAGAAAGTACTACCTACACATAAAATGGGAGAAATAGGTAAATAGGTATATAAATATATAATTACAAAGTAACGTTAGTAAGTTAAGATTTCCTAGCATTTACAATATGCCAGTCCTGAGAAAAAGAGGAAGACCCCCAACGAGATGGATCAGCCAGGTGGCATCATTGATGGACTCAAGTGTGGCAGCGGTAGTGAGGTTGGCCCAGGATCGGACATTGTTTCCGTTCTGCTATGCATGGGGTCGCTATAAGTCGGTTCCGACTCGATGGCACATGACAACAACAACAACAACAGTCCTGGTGTGGCGCTGTGGGTTAATGAGCCAGAGTGCAATGCCATTTGAACTGCAAGGTTGGTGGTTCAAGCTCACCAGCTACTCCTTGGAACCAACTCAATGGCACTTCACGACAACAAGTCATATACATAGACTCAATTACCCTATTTTTATACTGTGTACTATTTTCATCCACATTTTTCAGTAAGTGAGGTGGCACTGGAGGCACTCACTCATCCATGCCAAGAAATTTGGAAGACAACTACCTGGCCAACTGATTGGAAGAGACCTGTATTTGTGTACATTCCAAAGAGGGGTGATCCAACGGAATACGTAATCAGAAAATACCTTTGATAGCCCATGCAAATACAGTTTTACTAAAAGTAATACAGAAACAGCTGCAAGCATACATGACAGAGAACTTCCAGAGGTTCAAGCTGGATTCGGAAGAGGACATGGAACAAGGGATATCATTGCTGATGTCTGATGGATCTTGGCTGAAAGCAAGAATATCAGAAAGATGTTTACCTGTACTTTATTGACTATGTAAAGGTTTTTGATTGTTTGGATCATGACAAGCTATGAACAACATTGCGAAGTATAAGTATTGTGCTCTTGAGGAATCTACACGGACCAAGAGGCAGTTGTTCAAACATAACGTGGAAACACTAAATGGTTTAAAATTAAGAAAAGTGAGTGACAGGGTTGTATTCTTTCACCACACTTATTCAACCTGTATGCTGAGCAAACAATCTGAGAAGCTGAGTTATATAAAGAAAACGTGACATCAGGATTGGAGGAAGACTCATTAACAACTTGCAATATGCAGATGATACAACCTTGTTTGATGAAAGTGAAGAGGACTTAAAATACTTACTGATGAAGATCAAAGACCACAGCCTTCAGTATGGGTTGCATCTCAATGCAAAGAATACAAAAATCCTCACCACTGGACCAATAAACAACATTCTTATCAATGAAGAAAAGATTGACGTTATCAAGGACTTCACTCTTCTTGGATTAACTATCAACACTCATGGAAACAGCAGTCAAGAAATCAATGACATATTGCATTAGGCAAATCTGCTGCACAAAACCTTTTTAAAGTGTTGAAAAGCAAAGATGCCAGCTTGAGAACTAAGGTGCACCTGACACAAGCCATGGTATTTTCAATAACCTCATATTTATGCAAACGCTGGACAGTGAAAAAGGAAGATCGTAGAAGAATTGAAGCTTTTGAGTTATGGTGTTGGAGGAGAATATTGAAAGTGCCATGAGCTGCCAAAAGAACAAACAAATCTATGTTGGAACAAGTGCAGTCAGAGTGCTCATCGGAGGCCAAGATGGCCAAACTTTGTCTCTCATACTTTGGACATAATATCAGAAGGGACCAGTTACTGGAGATTTTGCTAAGGTGGAGGGTCAGAGAAAAACAGGAAGACCCCCAGTGAGATAGATTGGCAAAGTGGCAGCATCAATGGGCTCAACAGAGAGGTTGGCCCAGGACTGGGCAGTGTTTCATTCTGTTGTACATATGGTTACTATGAGTTGGTATTGACTCGATGGCACCTAACAACAACAATTATTTTCATGCCCATTTTTTAATAATTTTCCCAGGATCACACAATTAGAAGGTAATGGAGTAAGATTCCATATGTAGGTCAGCTTAGCTGCAGAGCCTGACTTGATATTGCCTTCCAAATGAAAAAAAAAAAAAAGATTTGCAATGAAAATACAAAGGAACAAATATAACAAATTCATTAAAATGTCACAGAAAGGAGAAAAGCAGTGAGACCATGCACATAAATAAGCAAAGCACAACATTTCACAAATGAGAAATTGTAGCTGAGTTATAAAAATTTGGAGTCCTGGTGTGGTGCTGTGGGATAATGCACTGGACTTCAAGGTTGATCTGAAACGCAAGGTCGGCAGTTCAAATTCATCAGCAGCCTCCTTGGAAACCCTATACAGGGAAACCCTATATGGAGTCAATATAAGTCAGAACTGACTCAACAGCACTAAACAACAGTAACAATAAACACTTTAAAAGGTATCTAACTTTAAAAACTATAAAAAACAAATTTGAGATTCTAATTTTTAGTTCATAAAAGTTGTTTTAAAAGGCATTTGACAAAATCCAACATCCATTCCTGAAAAAAACACTCAACAAAATAGGAATTGAAGGAAAATTCCTCAACATAATAAAGAGCATATATACAAAACCAACAACCTATATTACTCTCAATGGAGAGAAATTGAAAGCCTTCCCTCTACGAACAGGAACCAGACAAGGATGCCCTTTGTCACCGTTCCTATTCAATATTGTGCTGGAAGTCTTA